CTTGATATGCAAAAGAAAAAGGAAAAAAAAATCTAACAGAAACCTTTGAAACAAAATAGGGACAAATGTTTGAAGAGATTTTTTTTGTCACATAGTATTTTCAAGAACAGCATATAATTTGGTAGGATATGTTTCTCTTTCCAGAGAAGAATGGTTATAGTTCTAAGACCTTGAGTTATGTTGAGGAGCAAATTTCTCCTTGAGTACTCGCATTGTTAACATCAAGGATTTTTCTCGAAAACAACAGAGATGCATCCCTACACTGTTCTGGAAAAGCACTGTCATGTCATATGTATTATGTAGAGACCATGGAAAAATAGGGGACCTCTGTCCTTTAAATTAAATAAAATTGAATGCTTTCAGATCAGGGGACTCTTCTAGTTTGATACTGGTGACAGGAAATACCAGGTACTACGGTCCTGTGAGGAAACCTGGGAGAGAAATCTCTGGGTGGCTGCCAGAAGACCTGTCAGAACTGCTCAGGTCCCATAAGGATACCCACCTCTCACCTCTGGCTAAGTGGACAGACAGTAAATCCCATATGTTTTCCAGAAGCAATTCCCATGAATATTTTGAAGTAAAGGGAAGGAACCCTAGCATGAAGTCATTCCCATCTCCAGGACTGGAGATAGCCTTTTTCTGTGAACAGCTGTCTCCTTCCCCATCTCTATTAAAGCAAATGGAACAGACATGGATCAAGAAATTTTTGTCTTACCGTTATTAAATGGTAGTAGCAGATTCGTATGTGGAGAAGAGACGTATTTTGCCCCATTTTAGGCATACGTCATCATGGAGTCTGAATAATCAGTTTGTTTATGTCCTTAACTTTTGTACAGTGTTTTCAGTAAAGTTAACCGGTTGTTGTATACTTAACTGTAAACCAGTGCTTTTCCTACAGTTTTATAGCACAGAATGTTTGTATGTGCTCAATAAACAGAGGTAGTACCAATGCTGAGAGATCTGACTTGTGCATCTGCAAATTTGCCATTGCCTCAAAATGTAAAGTGAAATATTGAGGCCAGAATTTTTTAGTAGAGAAAGATAATGAGATGCTTAGTAATAAATGTAGCTGAGTGAAGCAAAACTACAGTGAATTGAACTCAAATTTTCATACTTCATTATGTAAGATAGTACTAGAGATCAGAAAGGATATTCTGTGCTCCGTAAAGAATATAGAAACTCCATAAAGAACACAGAATATTTAGGATTACTTAAGTTTTTTTCTTTCCTTGACTTTCGTTGAAGTCTCAGACATTGAATCAAGTAGTAACAGCTTATCTACTTAGATGAGACATTAACTGGATATGAGAATTTTCCATGCTAGAGTTGGATACTGAGCTATTGTCTGAGGAAGGTTTCTGCAATCAGACTGAACATTGTATTCAGTACTGTTCTGTTTCAGAGTACAGTCTTGAAAAAAACCTTTTTGAAATGCAAAAAAGAGATTTTAGAGAATGATAATTTTATTTTGGAGAATTGCAATTTGGCCTGATTTTGGGGAGCAGAGAACTAGATCCACAAAAGAGCTCAGATCTCCAAAATGACTTTTAAGTAAAGATTTAAGTAACACAGTCTAAATTTTTTCATTGTTGAATTCTCTCATTGCTCAAAGCTCTGCTTTTTTTCGTGTCCCTGATTCTGTCCATCTCCTCAGGGCTTAGTGATGTGGTGTCTGTTTGCTTTGCACCTAGTGCATGTCAGTCCTTGTTTGAAACTTCAGATTGGGCCTGCATTGTCTGAGAGCTCTAGCATCTGTCTCCTAATCCAGGAAACATGCGTCTGCTGAATTGGTCCATATACAAAATGTTTTCCATGTTCTCCAATCTTGTTCTGTGTTAGTTTGTGTAAATGACAGTTATGTACAATGGCTGATCAAAAGCTCTGCGTGTCAGTTCGTTGCCCAGTCTACATATGCTGCTTGTCTGCAACATCATACAATGTATAGGAGATTGAGTTTGTTCTGCTTTCTTCCCCCAAGGAAGGATATTCTATGTATGGCTGATGAATTTGAGAAATTTTTTTAAAATTTTCTCTTTTTAAAATTTGCATTTCTCTGTAACATTTGGTTGAAACTGGACATCTAGTTCAAAATTACTAGTGGTCATGGCAAACAGAGAGACAGACAAACAGGGCTTTTGAGATGGATTCTTCCTTTGGAAACTAGCTTAAAACATGATCAATGAGGAGCTACTATTTTTTATGTCACCTTATATATACTATTTACTTTGTTTAGAGGACTTGACCAAGAAATTGGAAATGTGCGTTCAGCTTCACTTCTCTATTCTGCCTGCTGGAGCATTCCTAAACCCTTCCAGTTTGGAGGTGTTCCACATCATAGGGAAGTTATAGACTTTTTGACAAGCAGGTGCATTGTATTTAAAAATTTATGCACAGTAGTCTTCAGTGTCCTTGTATCTATTTTAGCTTTGGCTTAGACTGCTTCACCAGTAGCTGATTCCTAGAGAATGCCATTTAGATATGAAGAGGTCCTCCAAGGAACCTGGACAAGAATGTCCCTTCCTAAGGAGGAACAAAATGTTACTTAGTGCAACTCCTCAAGGCACCTGTTGTCTGGTCTCATTTTGGTGTTTTTTTCACTTCAAGTTGTTTAAATACATTATTTATTGGGTTTTTTTTCCAAGATAGGCAGTAAGTTGTGTATAAATTCTTGATTGCTTAATTATGACAATATTAATTAGTTTAATGGACTTATACCAGTTATTAAGCTTTTCAGATGAAAATGTCTTAAATGTTATAGTATTCTGAACTGTTTCAATAGCTTTTTCTTCCATGTGTGTTGCTAAAGTCTGTATGTTCCTACTTTGAGAGTAAAAGTACAGCCTTTCGATGGTTGCTGAAGCATCTACAAATTTTTCTCTTCATGTGAAATAGGAACACAATGTTAATGGATACATTTGGCTCATCTGCAAAGTGGTGTATGCACACTGTCTAAACATAGGCATGTTACAGTCAGCAGAGGCTTTTGAGAGCAATTACGGTGTTCCTTTTCTGAAAAACCTTTCAGAGGCTTAATTAGCCAAAGCACCTAACAGTAGATACCAGAAGTCAAATGAGCTAAATGTACTCACCCTTTTAGCAGCATTCCTTCATACTGCTGGTAACTATTACTCTTATTCCTATAGTTAGAGTTAGTAAATATAACAATACTAAACGTAGTAGTAAGAATATAATTAGTAAAATAGTCTGTTAGGTTTAGTTTAGACCATTTAGTTTATAAGCTTCCTGAAACAAAAATCTATAGGAACTGTATTTGACTTAAAAGCTATAGACAAGCATTTCAGAATCACTCTGAACTTGAAATGCATATTATCTCCTCAGTTCTGAAATCCCTTTCTTTTCTGTTCTGTAAAATTGGGTGAGCAAAAGGTAGTGCTTGGACCTTTGTAGTATCTCAGCTGAATTTATGTAAAGTATCAGCCTACAGATTAGACCAGTGTATATGAAGGGTAAGTTTTGTTAGCAGAAAAGCAATGCAAGTCCTCTCTAAGAGCTGCTAGCATGTGCTGCTTATGCTGAACTAACCTTCTTCAATGAGGGTAGATACAGTTTGGTCGCTTAAATCAAAGCACAACATAATGCTTCCTATTTTTTTCGTAGATGTTATGAGCTATTGAAGGACTTTTTTTTTTTTTTTTTAAAACATGCAAATTACACATACACACACACATATATATATTCTTATGTGTGTTTTGGACAAACCACAGGGTTCTCAGCCTGGTGAAGTTTACTCTACATTATAATACTTTACAGCCAACAGATGCAATATGAATATGCCAACTCATTTTTATTGATTTTTACTCATAGTAGTACTGATTTTCCTTTTAAAGGTCTTAAAAGGCATTATTCACTATCTAAAGTAGTCTTTCCAGGTGCTCTTATTTTAAATGGCATCAGGTGTTTTATAGGTTCATGTGTTGTGACGATTTGAATAGACTTTTGTGTTATTGGGTACTTGGTTATGCACATGTCTTCAGGCATTCCAGAAGGGCTTCACTTTTTTATTGCTGTTCTCCGATCCAGCATTCGTATAGTATTGGTGGGTTTTTTGAAAACTGTGAAGTTTGGAAAAGGGGTGTAAGCTAGATCTAGCTCATCAAATAACTCAGCCTACTGCACGTCTGCTCACATGCCCTTACTCCGTGACCTTAAAGCTTCTTCTCCATCTTGTTACTAAAATTCAGGTGCTGCATCATTGTATGAACAGACCTGCACTTTAGTTCTGGGTTATGCTTACATGACGAGAAATGTCTTCGTTTAGGAGAAAAATGTGACTTATGATGAGAGATTTTGGTGAGAAAAGAGAATACTAGAAGAATGCAAAGGCATGTAGGCATTAAGAAGTTATCACCTGTGACCATATAGTAAGCACAGATTAACACTTTCAAATGCGATTAGTGATTCTGGTTTTGGATAGGCTTCCCTTAAGACAACAACTTTTTTTTTAAGGAGGCACAGAGAATTTACTTTCCTAAAATCATGTTCTATGTGGATATTTGAACTTTGAAACCCAAAAGCTTTTGGCAATCAAAATTACAGGTCTCACTGTAAGCCCTACCCACATGCTAGTACAGTATTTCCATTTCAGCTCACAAAGATAAGCACCCAGACTCATACTTTGGCCAGATAAAAGTCTGTTTGACCTGCTGAAAAACTAACTAATAAGAGTCACAGGAGCAACTCTTCTGAAAATGTAATTGATATCTAGTACAAGGTATTTAAATATGAATTTTTGGCATTTAACTTTGTTTTTTAATACTGGCTTTCCTAATTGTGATGTATTTGCTACGTGTGGTTTCGTATTGCATTTGGCCTGATCACTGAGGCATTTACCGGATTTTTAGTTAGTCTTGTTTTGCATTGTGAAATTTCTCTGGATGTTTTTTTTTCTTTGTCTGATGTTCAGGGGGAAAAAAAAAAAACAAAACCAAGAGAAAACACACAACAGATCTTGCTCATTTCCCTCTGTTTTTGTTTTACAGGAGACACATGAAATTGTGGCTATCAAGAAATTCAAAGACAGTGAAGGTAACCTTTTTTGTTGCATAATCTTTCATGTCAATAACTACGTTGTTAATAACTCTCCAGTTAAGATAAGAAGTCTCATATATCAAGTCATGATTTAAAAATTATAATGATTTATTAGCTCTGTCAATATTCAAGGCACTTGATCCTTCATACCTGCCTCGGGACTGCATTATACACTCCAACTAGATAACTAGCTTTCTTTTTTGGTGCATCTGTCTTAACATGGCTCAAATTGTGGTGCCATACACAGTAGTAAGATCTATCACTTGTAGAATGGATGTAATCAGAAAATGGCAAAAAGTCCTCTTGTATTAGTGGCTTGCAGAGTCTTTACGCTTTATCATCTTTCCTCTGTGAGATGGGATCTAAATATTAGGGACGACTTGCAGGGGTAAAGGTAGAAGACTGAGAGAAGTCACAGAGAAGTTCAGTGGTACGAAGAGGAATCGGGGAGTTCTCAGGGTTCCATGGGAGGATTTGAGAGAGCTGGGGGGTGGCGATCCAGCAACTCTGCCCTCCCTTCAGGAGGCTCCACTCTCCACAAACTTGCTTTTTGTCCCCTCACAGCAGCCTGTGTATATTCTCCAGTGTTGCTGAGTTTACTGAGAAATAACGGGGAAGAACCAACTCCTGCAAGGCTTACTGTTGCTGGCAAAGTGGATGGCAGAAGGCGGGAGACATGGAAATTATTGCCAGTGCTGCGCACACCTATTCCTCACCCAGCAGTAATAAAACCGAAGATCTGTACAAAAGAAGACTGGGTCTCTGACCTGCACTTGTTGGGGGACAGTGAATCCCAGTGTACTATCATAGGCAAAACTGGCAATCAGCCACGAGAGCAACAGTTAACCTTGCATCCATCAGAAGCTAGCCCCGATCCCTAAGGGGCTAGCACAAACAGAAGGAGAAGCCAAGTATGAAGTAATAGGAGGAGTCATCCCCATCTGAGGCAATGCAGCTATGATTTGCTGTATACCAAGGCTTTAGCTGAAAGCTAACAATGTGGTTTAAAGAAACAGCACCCACTTTATTTTAGGAAATTTTCTTTTTTGTTATTGTTACAGGGTTGTTGGGGTGGCCATGGAGGTGTGGTTGGTTACAAGAACTATTTTCAGAGTCATTTAGGCACCACAAAGTCAGATTTGTGTCTGTCGTTTTAGGCAATGCAAACTTTTGCTTTACAGCTGGTTTTGCCAGACACTTGAAGGATATATTTGATGAATCTTTTAGCTCTGCTATGCAGAAATCTGTTTTAAATCCCTCTTAAAGAATGTAGGAGATCATTCAGTTCTGGTGATGATATTGACCAGGTCATTAGAGTACTTCAGAATTGCTTTTTGGAACTCGGTATGGCTATTCAGTGCAGAACCTAGGCAATGAATCTGTTTAGTATTAAGCCCTAAACAGGATTATTATATTAGCCAGTCTACAAAAAAATGAAAGCAAAAAAATGTAACATTGCCATTAGGTCTGGCTTTCCAAGAGTATTATGTAATATCAGTTTACATGACTGATGACTGCTTTTCGGAGTTGTAGCTAGTTGTTTACAAGTTTTTGGAAATATGACAGAAGTTCTTTTGATGGATTTGATTCAGTCCATTTCACATCTGTCTCGTTAATGTGGTAGTTCATTAAAAATCTGAATATACTGTAATTGTTTCTATTGCCATTTTTGTTTCACTGAATTTTTGCTGTTGTTTGACATATGCATGTTAAATACACTGGAAAGAGAGTGTCTAGTTATAGATGAAATTATGTAATCAGGCTGAGGCAAGCCAACACCAAGCACTCAGTTTTAAAATGAAATGATTCAGATTGCTCTAAATTATATATTTTTTTAATCAAAACATTTGTGATGGTGGTATTTTGTTTTCCTCTTCCCTCCTGCTACACTTCAAGGTTTTTTTGCTCTCTCTCCTGATGATGATAATATGTGTTTGCATGACCTGTGTTATTCTCTCTCTGCTGCAAACGTGTTTTTGCCTTTTGCTTGCTTGGAAAAACAATTTCTCTTCCTTGTTTCTTCTTCCTCTGTCTGTGACTGTCTTTGTGGTACATGACCTACAAATGTGATTTAGCTTTGAAGTCATGCAATCATATCCCATTTAATATCCTGCTGTTGTGGATAACAGTTCTAAGAGATTAAGAACCCTGCTTCTACATGTGCATGGGCAAATTTACTGAATTAATGGATTTCATTTTAGTTAATGAAGAATAAAACCTAATATAATCTGGTTTACTTGACATTTCGTTGGTAGTATCCTCACTTCGGGGCCTCTTGATGATAAACAGTGTATGAAGCTTTAGTAAAACACTCCTTTCTTGAACAACTTTCAGACAACTACATTTTCAAAACAATTGAATTTCTTGTCTCCTCGGAATCAGGTTCAAGGCTTCATTGAATCAATTCTTGCTCTGCTGCCCTCTGTGGCCACTACACTGGTCTGCATTGCTGAATTTCCATTAAATGCCTTGTGGGGAAACCTACAGGACCTACAAATCAGTGCTTTGGTCTGGCTTTTGGAGAATAAAATTTTTTTAGAATCAGGTTTCTTTTACGTTGTTCAAACACAAGCTTTGCATTCCAGTGTTTCTGCTGAGGACATATTAACCTTGCCAGTGCTTCATTCATGTGACATGTATTTGTGGGGTGGAGGATGTGTCTGCACACATACATGCATACTTTTTGAAGCATATTAGTGCTCTTCATTATGAAAAAGATAGAAATGTAAATCATTTGTTTCTTACGACTTTTTCCTGCCACTGAAAACCTAGATGGTAGTGACAAGAAGTCTTTGAGGGTTGCATAATGGTAGCACAGTCCTCAGTTACCTCTCTTAAGAATGCATAAGCATCCAGGCAGCAGAGTCAGTCCATGCTGGATAATAAGCCTTTTTCTCTGTAATATCTAGAAACAGAGAATTTAATCGGGGATTCAAAGTAAAGATTTATAACACTTGTTACTTGGGAGTCTTGTTTTGTTTTTAATAAGTTTTACTCTGTCACTTTTGCTTTGCACTCTAGAAAATGAAGAAGTCAAAGAAACCACTTTACGAGAGCTTAAAATGCTTCGCACTTTGAAACAGGAGAACATAGTGGAGCTGAAGGAAGCCTTCAGAAGAAGAGGAAAATTATACCTCGTTTTTGAATATGTGGAAAAAGTGAGTTGAATTTGTACTATCCTTGCCACAATTAAATCATCAGCTTACTGGAAGAGTCTTGAAAATTACTTTTACTTTTAAAAATTAAGCTATTCTAATCTATAAAGAGGAACAGCAGAAACTTTAGTACAGTCTGAATTGTTGTAACTAGACATTTATTGTGAGAAAGCAACACTGATTGATAACTTTACTATAGCTTTTACTTCAGGTATTGGTCTTTAAAACAAAAAAAAATCTTCCATATATGAATACAAACATTCAAATTATGTAGACTGGAATACATACCATTTGAAGAAAAACTTGCATCCAAACTCTATAGTCCAGTGTAATTGTAAAGCTGATTAACTGTCCTGTGTTATGTTGTGTAATGAATCTTGACGTAGTCTTTCAAAACAAGATCATAGACTTTTGACCTTGGAATCTGTTTCAACTTTCTCCATCCTTCCCTGTTAAAAATAGGATTTGTTTGTATATTTCTGTAACAAGGCCACTATCAATAGTTACTTAGAAGGATTTGGCAGAGATCACTGTCATTATTTCCAATCCTGACCTCATTTGAAATTATTCCAAAATTTCCTTAGATTGGCCTAGTACTACCAAGCATCCTGGTCTGTTTCCAGGGAGGAACAACCTAGCACAGATTGGTCTTTCATTATTTTTGCAACCTTCATGATAAAGGTAGACCTTCCCTCTGTATTCTAACCATTTAGCATTTCTTCATGGAAATAATTAGATGGTATTCAGATACATACAGTAAAAATAAACGCAAGCTTAAATACATGTATCTGTGTAGCTTTCATGAGCTATTGTTCCCTTGATTGAAGTTTTCATTTAATATCCTGCCAGTGTGGTGTTGCAGTCTAGCTGAGTGCTAGTTCTCTTCAGTGAATTCTTTCTCATGTAAAGATTCCTCACCCTAAATATTGTGTATCCTTTACCTCAGTTTACAATTTATTATGTTGTATAACTTTATTGCATAATGTGAGGTGACCTATATTAGCCCACAGTTTGGCAGAAATCAGGTTTTTTTTCACCAGCAGATCAGCAACTTCTAATGTGGTGGATCTTAAGTAAGATCTAACATCCAAAGCTTGATGTGTTCCACCCATGTTCCTTGTAATTGTTCCAGACACGTGGAATGTCTTTGATCACACACCAACTTAAAACGTACATTTAATTTTGTATTATAGTTGACTTGGCTAAGCTTGATGTAGTAGTGGGTTGGAAAAGCAGCATAAGTAAAAGTTATTTAATTGATCTGATAAAGAGTATATTTTAAAAATTGTTGATAGTGTTAGAAACACCAGGCTGCAATATCTAACATTGTTTGCATCAGAATAAAAGAATATAATGATAAAGGTAGGCATCATGTATCATCTGTGCCTAATGTAATTTCTATATTAATGGTCACCTTTATTTTCAGTTAAACTTTGCAGTCCATGAATGTTTCTCATTTTCCAATATGTCAAGTAGTTTACACAATAGTTTCTTTGAAGACTAGGATGATTTCTATATTTTTGGATGAGGGAAGAGTAGAAGGAATTAAAGAAAATGTGGTATAGTAGGCTAGTTTTTGTTTTAACTGGTGATGAGCACCTTGTGTCCTTTAGGGAATCTTAGCTCTGCAATACTCAAATCCAGATTACTTAGATTCACATTTAGTGTAATCTCCTTTATTCATCATCCCCTTAGTTAATGTCTTCGTATAGGATTATGTCTCACTGTGCTGATGCTTCTATTTTGGTTCATATTTGTAACACTAACTCCTTGACTGACTTATCCAGATCCACAGGTTTCTGTGTGGACAAGAGTCTAACTAAAATCAATATCGTACCTTAAGAAAAATTCCTTTTCTCAGATCTGAAGTGTATTTCTAAGGAAACTTACACTCAAGCACATAAGTTGCAGTATTTATTCACAAATTGCAAAAAAATGTTTTCAAATATTATCAAAGTCTCCATTTGTTTTTATCTTATATTTGTGTTCATTAAAGTATCTTACAAGAGAAACCTCAAAAGTTGTATTACACAGCTAATGTTTGTCAAAGACAAGGTAAATTTTTTTAAATGAAAAATCCACAAATGCTCAAATCCATAATTAAATTAGTTGTGTAAGGCGATATAGTAAAAAAAAACTTGCTTCTATTTCAGTATTCAGTAAATAAGACCTTTCTGTCTTTGAGTGGGCTTCTGCTGTCCATTATACATTCAGGATTCAGAGTGTACAAACTCCATTGTACTTCTAATTGTGCAAAATTGGAGACATTTGCCAACATAATGGGAATCTAAATGTCCTTTTTCAAAGAGGAAATTTACTAGTATAAACAAACAGTTTTTCTTCCCTAGGTATAGCTATAAAACAGTCAATATGGCCATAGTTACTGTAGTGCAAATATGTCTAAGATCAATATAGCTGATACATAGCTATACAATACTCCCTAGGTTACTGTTTATGCCCCTTTGAGGCATTTTTATATCTGTTACTTCATTTGCACTAACAGGCTTGTGTTGCTTTAACTATACCCATTCACATATAGACATGGTTTGTGATTAGTCATGGCCCTGCTATGTCAAAGCAGCAGAATGAGCTTAATAATGAAGAATACAATACGTTAAAGCACAGTTGGATATTTACAAAATGCTGTGCTCTACTAAACTTTTCATATAACCACAGTGACCTAGTGTTTCTGTTCAAGCAACTTTTTGTAACTAAATGACTTTTGGAAGCTTTAGGCTAAGTGGTTTGATGACAGTCTTTTAAGGACTTGTGGTATATTTGTGGTTCACCTTTAAGGACTGTTGTCTTCACAAGGGCTTTCTCTAGAATTAAAACAGCTAGTAGTATGCTTATGATTAAAATAAACTCCTTGAATGTTGAATTATGATTTTGCATAGCCAGGCTCACTGACCTAAGTATGTTGCTTCACAATGCTGAAAGCATGTTCTCTTCTAGCAACTACAATATAACTCTTAAATAATATGTTTTTTAAACATTTAGAATATGCTTGAATTGCTAGAAGAAATGCCAAATGGAGTTCCACCAGAAAAAGTGAAAAGCTATATCTACCAGCTAATTAAAGCAATTCATTGGTGCCATAAGAATGATATTGTTCATAGAGGTAAGTGTGTACTTCTCCACATGGAAATAAGCCCTGGGTAGGAATTTGCTTTCTAAAGGGAAAGATGTTACAGCTTGCAGTAATTTGCATTTAACATAAATATAAGCAAATGCTTTATATTGTATCCAAAGAAGAGCAACGAAGCTGGTGAGGGGTCTGGAGCACAAGGCTGATGAGGAGGGGCTGAGGGAACTGGGGTTGTTCAGGCTGGAGAAGAGGAGGCTGAGGGGAGACCTGATTGCGCTCTACAGCTGCCTGACAGGAGGCTGTAGTGAGGTGGGGGTCGGCCTCTTCTCCCTGGTAACAGGTGATAGGACAAGGGGAAATGGTCTGAAGTTGCACCAGGGCAGGTTTAGGTTAGACATTAGGAAAAATTTCTTCACAGAAAGGATTGTCAGACACTGGTATGGGCTGCCCAGGGAAGTAGTTGAGACCCCATCCCTGGAGGTATTTAAAAGCCAGGTAGACGAGGTGCTTAGGGCCACGGTTTAGTGGTGGAATTGACAGTGCTAGGGTTATGGTTAGACTTGATGATCTTAGGAGGTCTCTTCCAACCTAAACAATTCTATGATTCTATATCAACAGAAAAAAAAAATCTATAAATTTGTCTGGCTGGGTCTTAAGTCTTCTGTGTGACTTCAGATCATTTAAAAAGAAAATTCATCTGCTTATAAAGCTTGCTATCCACTGTCTTTCAAGTATGAATAAAGACTGTATCATATGCACAGCAAATTGAAACTGCAGTGCTAACATTGCCAAAGGAAAAGGAATTTTTTTAAACATTGCATGGCTCTCAGTCATTTCACTTTTGAATCTGATAATAGAACATTAGGAGAAAAGTAACCCAGAACTTAAAGCTTGGTCCCCTGTGTTTTACTTCTTAAGGTAGTTCCTCCTGGCTCCCATGCATTCAGCTCTGTATATGTACTTTCTCCCCTAAACTTCAAGCACTTACAGTACATATCTTGATGTGTGAATTTATCTATTTTTATGTATTTTATCCCAATTTAATAAAATTTTATTTTGTTTTGTGGCTTTGCTAGAGTAACATTTTTAATTAATGTTTCCAATAAATTAAAATTCTCATACAATACGCTATTTATATTTGAGACTGATCAAACATAAAGAAGGGTCTGAAAATATTTTGTAAAGTATAGTTTGGAAATCCGTATATGGATACCATGATATAGGAATAAAAAAAGGGCTTAAAACTAGAGGTCATCAAGAAGATCATCATAACTGAAAATGTTGAGCATAACACACAACATTTTATTGGTTAACTGGGTAATTAAATGTCAGTTCTTTTTATTATTTTGCAATATTCTGCATATTGGTTTGCTGCCCAAGAATATCTGTAAGCACATTTATCTTCCATATTTTGCTGGGAACCACTTTGAAAGACTTCAAAAGGCAGCAAATTAATTCTGCATGTTCACAAACTGAATTGCTGGAAGCTGTTTCAGCAGCTTTATTTATGCTTCATTTATAATTCCATTAATATATCTAAATATGCTATAATGAAATAATATTTGTGACAAAGTTCAGAATTAAAAAGAGACATTAACAGCATTATTTTTTTTTCTCTCACTCTGATACTCCAGATATCAAGCCAGAGAATCTCTTAATAAGCCACAACGATGTTCTGAAGTTGTGTGACTTTGGTAAGTTCAATAGATAGATACCTGCTTCTTACCTTTTTAAATAAAATCTCTTGCAGTGGAGTTTTGCCTTATTCTTGTAAGAGTTTTACAGCATGTACTGTTTAAACCCTTTTAGTGGTCAGAATTCATTACTTCATCAGATTTGTGGCTAGTAATTTAATTTGAAAGATCTTGGGCCTAATTTGCATACTCTGTAATACCTCTATTAACATGTCAATAGAAATGCTACATATATCTCTACCAATGTTTGGCAAACTTTTTACTAGCAGTGTTATTGGCACTCAGCTGAGAACAGCACAGATAAGCTCATTATCTGGTCTGATATTAAAAGAAAAGATAATTCTTCCTCGTAAAGACATAATAAACTTATACTTTTTACATCATTTTTGAACCACTGGCTTCCATGGACAGTTACGTGTGTAGTTATAGGTCAACTTTTATTGTCATGTTAATCGAGGAATGATGTGTCCACATATCATTAATGACTGAATGGCTGAAGGATAGAATTGTATGTGTAACGTTAACTTTAGTGTTTCCTGACCTATCAATAGCTGTTTAATGTTGGCTTTAAGGCTTTGAAGAATCAGCACCTAAGCACAAGGTGAATTTTGCCCATGTGAGTAATCCCCGGAAGACAACAGGGAGGCATGTACACTGTTCCAACAATCTGCATTTTTATTCTAAATGCTACATAAACATGAAATAAAATATTGTTCCCTCTAAAAAGCCTACAGTTTGGCTTGGTAAATAAAAAACAATTCCATAGTGCTACCCATGGGTACTTTTCAGTGAGAGCAGTTTGAAAGCTGTCATTTCAAACCTCTGCAATTTTGAATGAAAGGAAGAACTGCTAAAAAAATGATTGAAATTGCTTTTTAGGAACACAAAAAAGGCGTTTGTCACTTGCAGTGCTGCTTATTTCTTTTAATCCTAAAGGCATTTTTGCTTAAGCATTCAGAAACAATAACCTTTCTAGTGGGAAAGCCTTAGAAGATTTGGTGCATATGAGTTCTTTGAATTAAGGGGAATTTATTCTGCAGTGTAAGGAGCTGCACAGCTCTGACAGAACACCAGGGTACCCTTGCCCGGTGCTCTCCATGCCTTTGTCTTTTTGGTATCCACAGGCCTCCTGTTTCCACCACTGTGGCTGCCCGCCCCTGGAAGTTCTATGCCCTGGCTGCCCTGGCAGAGTTGGCCAGAGCTGGTGGGGCAGGATTTTTCCCTTTCCCAGCCCTCACCCTCCATTCTCGTTTGGTTTTTTTGGGGGGGAAGAGGTGTCCCCTCTGAAAGTAACATTCACCATTAGACTTGGCATATGCCATCAGCTTTATGTGTGTGAACTCATGTCAACATCCTTTGTGCAGCAGTATTACAGGAAAATAAAAAACCGAACAAATGGTATGATTGTGTTCTCAATGACGGTTTTCTCAGTAGGTATAGATGATGTGAATTCTGTCAGCAGTGATGTTCTGGTCTGTTGGCTTGCTCATGCTGTACACTCCAGCCACGTTCTCTTTCTGCTGTTGGAAAAGACATGCAATCACAGTGTACTCACAGTGCTCGGCACAACCTCAAGGAAGGCGAATTAAGTTATGGGAATTTCTGTGGTTCTTATTGTTCATGTAGGTTAGTTTGAATTTTGATCAATGTTTCAGTTTTAGTTGAATTTAAAATTCCAAGCAACTCTTATAATCTGGGATCAATTTTAATTTTTTAGCCTTATTGCTAATTAACATTATTGCTAGTAGCTTAAGCTGTAAAATTTTACTGTAAAATGTCTGTCAAAACGGTATTAGCCACAAGCGTTTCCCAAACATGTAGAGATGAGGATATAAGAATTTACCTTTTAACATGAGTTAACATATGCTGTCTGCCTACCTAACTTAAATCATGTTTTAGAATACAGGTACTTGTCACACACAGTGCTACATTCCTCATGTGGTAACAGATGCAAAGAAAAAGGTCTGTGCATCCATCCCAATGCAGATATTGAAGTAATTGGATGTTTCTGAATAGCCCAGTGGACAAAACAGTTTCAATAGAAAAGTTCATAAATTTTTAACAAGATAGTTCTTCACAGTCCTTGTGCCATTTGTTCTGTACATATCGTGCTAGATAAAAATGAGATTGAATGTGGTGCTTGCCTGGACACATGTTGTGTGGGTGTCATTTCTGCCAATTGGAGTGGAAAAAGAGAACAGTACAAAATGCCGATTACAGCAGATGCCTCTGACTGTTGGAAATAGTTAGGCCTTCTGACTAGTGTGTTTGCTGTTTCAACACCAGGGCTTCAAAATTACTTCATTTAGCAATCTCTTAATCTCTGTATGATGCATAAGCACAGAAATCGTGAAACGCAGGACTGGAAAAGACCTCAAGAAATTATCTAGTTCTACCACCTCCTCAAAGAAAGGATTAAGCATGTCTGTGTCATTCTTGGCAGGTGTTTGCTTAGCTTATTCTTAAAATTCTCAGTGGTGGAGGTTCCCTAGTGTTCCTAGGCACCTCTTTAAGTACTTACATGCCATTAATGTTAGAATGCTTTACTTTATGTCTAACTTAAATTTGTCCTATTTCTCTATAAGAAACTGGCAGTCGTCTTTTTTCCTCACACCTTTTTCCTTGACGTCTCTCTTACCCTGGTCTGTGTTGTTTAAAGTCCTTTCTTGAAATCTCTTATTTTGCTTGTTCTCCCTCCTTGCACCATGATGCATTTGCAAACTGTATTGCTTCCATAGATGCTGTCACCCCAGTTGCCTTCTGTCTTCATGTTCTCATCTATTCCTTCTCACTGTTTAGAGTTTGGTCTTATCTTTTCCCTAGTTACCTTCTCATATTTTTATATTAAAAAATTCTTCCCAGTACCTCAGCATAATTTGGAGGAAGGAACAATAAGCTAACTCCACCGCAACAACAACAACAAAAAGTTATGCCCTTAGAAAGGTATTATGCTTTCTTGAATTATTAATTCTGTCCATCATCTTTCGGCATGGTGTCATGGAGTCAGAGCAATAGTGAATCCATAGAATGGTTTCTTACATCACCCAACAATACTTGGATAACACTGAAGCCTGTGATGATAATTTTCCTTTCTGTCTTGCTACATCAAGTATGTGCTGCACCCAGTCTGTGAAGTTGGGGGCTGATTCTTTTTTCAGACTGTGTTAGCTGATGATGATCTCTTGACATGGTAGCTGCTGACTGTGACCAAGTTCCAGTGGACTGGCCTGGAGGGAGGAGGATGCATCCTTGACTTGTTGATTCTTCTAGTGCACGTGGGCTGGTGGGCTGCCAGCCCTGTGTGTTACAGTAGGATGTGTGTTTAGTTGTATCATGTGTCACCTTCCCCCCCCAATTTGTCCTGCTGTTCATTTTGGCTGTCCCTTTTCTTCCGTGTAGCTCCTGGTTGTCTTCCTTCTCTTCTTTAAACACATGAATGATTTTTTCACTGACAAGTTTAATCAGATGGGTCATGTAATTTGAAACTGAAACAGGGCTGCCTAAGCAGTTCTAAATATAGTACCATTTAGAAATTTACTCAAACCCAATATTACGTGTAATAAAAGATTCCTTTCCAGCTTTTCTCTAGCAGCATCAGCAATGTTCATTAGACTTTATGGGAACAGATCAGAATTATTATTATTATTTTGGGACAACGTTGAAATATCTGTTCCTCGTTGTATGTGTCTTTTAGTTTACTAACCCTTGAAGGTAGAAGTATCTTGCAAAAAGTAACACCTGTAACCTCTGTCAGTAACAAATTTATCATTGTTTTCTCAAATCACTAGTCTAATAATAAGCATCCAAATCTTTACTTCATCAGTGTTCCACAGGGGTGAGTGGGGCTGGGCTCCTTCAGATGAAGCTGTCAAATGAGATGCACTTCCAGAATACTAGTAAAACTTGTTCTGTTTTGTAAGAAAGCCCGATGTGAAGACTGTAGAAATCTACCTGGAGGTGTTACAAGTGCCTTTGAGGAGTTTTATGCCTAAGAGTCCCTACAAAAAAAAAAAAAAAAAAAAAAACAAATTTAAAATTACAGCCTTATAAGCATAGTCGTGTGGGAAAAGCAATTTTGGCAGCTTCTGCATAAGAGCTCAGATATAAAGAGGAATGACTATTGCATTTAAGTAGCACTTATTGATTCTTAAAATGAAATTATACCTTACATATCTGCAATACTTTGGAATTTTTATTCTTTCTTCATCATTTGTGTGATAATGGAAAGACTCATAGTGATTTCACTGAAATGAATTTTGGACCAAATTATAATGCCACATCCCAGTAAGAACACAATTTGAAAATGTTGCTTCTGCATTTCAGCACCAAACATTTGTCTCAGTTTGAGCTCTAGTGAGGAGCTTATGCACCTGGAGTCTTGCTGCTGAGACCTGTCTGTCCTGTCTCATTATTAATCATTTGTTTGAAAACAGTAAGACACTTGATACTTTTCTGAAAACAATGCCAGCATCTGCCCTAGAGTAATTCTACATGAAGAATCCAGTAACATCATTACTGTGGTGCTCATTTTATAAATGGAGGAGAATGGAAATAAAAATATAAATTATTCCCACATCTGGGTTTTCCAGTATATGAACTCTTCTCCCAGTCAGTGGTCCTACTTGTTATGCCTTAGGACAGAAGTTAAGTTTTGGTACAATTGCAAATAAGTACACTTTTTTTTTTTTTTTAATTCTTAACAAAATGATGTGGAGGAAGAATTTAATTTGGACTTGGTTTCTGATCCTAATTCACTAAGAGCTTTGTTACGAATGTGATGCTAAAGCATGTGGGAACGTGACACGTGGAGTGGGCTACATGCAGATATAAAGCAGTTTTGCTGATCTTTGGTAGACTCCTGCCTTCTGTGGTTTTGGGGAGATGACCCTGTTCCTTTCCAGGTCAGGGAGGGAGTGTCCTTAGATGAGAATAATACATAGTTTCTTGACCAGTTTAAAAAATTGAATGCAGTGAGACTGTAGTAGTTAGGAGCAATGACTGGAAGAGTCTACTCCCCATGCATGTGTTACATTTTGAACGTTATGCATCTTCTGCAAACAGCATCTCAGTGAAATTTAGTGGCAGTAGTTCAATAGCTTGCATGGCATACTGGCAGGTAAGTTTTATCAATCTGTTTTGATTACGGCAAAGCACCAAAAGTAATAGGAAAATCCCATAGACTTCTGAGGAGAGTACACAAGTAAAGTAGCCATTAAAGCAGACAGGCTGACTTTCACTGCCATGTCAATAAAAGCTTGCATTTCGGTAGACAAGCATTTCTTGGAGACATCATCCTGCACTAGGATTTGTAAACAATTTGCTTCTATATAAATAGGCGCAACCTCTTACTGCCAAAATCTGTGGTGATGCACATACTGTATTTAAAATAGGATATAATCTTTCACACTGGTTCTTTCACAGGCTTTGCTCGTAATCTCTCTGAAGGAAGCAATGCTAACTATACAGAATATGTGGCTACCAGATGGTACCGCTCCCCTGAACTCTTGCTTGGGTAAGTAAAGTTTGTAGAACTGCCATGATAAATCTTGACTGATTCTTTACATTTTTTTCAAGCACCTTTTGTAAGACTTACCCATGGAGAGCTGTGGTTGATTTAAAGATAAGATTTCAGGAAGCTTCCAGTAAGTCAGCATAAATCATTGACGTGTTGACCTGACATGTTGAGCTGAGCAGTGTTTAGCTGATTAAAATATGAAGCAGAATTATAACAGATGGGCCTCAGATTCATGACCCCCTTCCCTCCTCCCCTTCTCCCCATTCCCTTTAGAAGAGGTTTCCGTGGTGGTCGGGTCGCCTGAAGTGTTCCATTCAGCCTTGCGGTAGACATCATGTAGCAATGGCAGTGCAGCTTTCACCACACTACACTCCTAGTGCTCTTCATCCTTTGGGTCAAAACTAGGATGTGGTTTTTGTTCCCAGTTACCCTTTACCAGCACTGCTGAAGTGGCTCAGAAGGATGATGCTAGCTTTTACTTGTCAGGAAGAATTTGTTGAAGGAGGCTGCATGAATCATTTTAATAAAGCACTGAGAAGTTAATGTTGCATTGCCTGTGAAAGCAGTAGTTACATGAGTAGCCTAAACTGGACAATTTAGTTTTACTCTTTTATTAATCTGTAAAATGAGCGTTTTACTACCTCACAAGGTTAAACAGATTTTCAGATACTATATGAACAAATTCACAGGACCCAAAAAGGCAAAGGAAGAGACAAAAATAACTGGAGATCTACTATATGTGATCTTCCCATTACTATCAAGTTTAACAGTGCATTATTCCAAACTGCGTGATCACTCTCATAGAATACAATTCCAGTATATATAGCATATATATATGTATATATACATATTCTACAAATAAGGAATTCTTAGCCACAGGATGAATCAAAAAAAAGTGCAGGTCACTCGTAAGATTCTTTAAGGAAAATGTTTAATGCTGCTGAGAAACAAGCCTTTTATGGAAGCTTTGATTAACACTGACCTAGACATTTCCTGAATAGATAAAGGATTAGGTAATAATTATTCTGTCAATAAAGTCATCCCAGTATTCCCAGAGCTGTGCTAATCTTAATCAAATTGGTAGGCAATTGCACTGCTATATGCAGAATAGTGTGTTAAAGTTGCCATTAAAAACCTCAACGCTCAGTTTTTCATATTTTGGAGAAAACAGATATTACTAAGCTTCCAGCAAAGTGTGTATGTGTGCATATAAGTATAAAAAAAGACTTGGAGAGAAAGCATCAATTGTGGCCGTCTTAGTTATGCAACATTTTACTCTGTCTGTAGCAGTAATGAGGATTTAGGAGGAAAAATATGAAAAGCTTGACAGACATAGTATTAATCTGACCTGCAGTTTTCAAAACTGTTTCAGGAAAAAGGAAATTTAGCAGGAATCATATTTGTTTGTAATTGACTAAATTTGTTTGATTAGCTTGTAGAGAAAGGAGGGGGTATGTGTATTAAATGCATATGAGTTCAACTTTGCTGGGGTATGTTTTTAATGCCAAGTTTTTCTGGCACAGTCATGTCTGTTTCTTGGCAATCCTGTTCTATTTCCCAGGCACTCATCTTACCCGTTCCCCCTTCCCCTGCATTTACCTAATCTAATATTCAAAAATCTTCCCAGGATTATTAAATTTATACATTTTACTAAATACAGTTTTACTTTTTCAATCTTTAAAATGTGTCCCAGAGAGGTTTCTGTTTTGTGATAAACTTCAAGGCTTACATTTTATGAGAGGAAAGAAATTGCTGCCTAATTACTCAAAGAACATCCAAAATCTACTCACTTTGGAGAGCCTCAGGTAACTGCTAGTGGAGTACTCTATACCCTTTGACAAAATACTGCTAAAAGCTAGTCGATTTTAACACACACCAAATTACTAGATGAAAACAGATTTTGGAGAATCTAATTTGTGCACAAATAGAGTATAGTACTTCTGATTTGCAATCTCTCTGTCCTGTAGAAGTGATTTCATCACTCTTGCATTGTTTGTCTGTTACGATCTGACAAGACTGATGCTGACAGTCAGCAGAACAGGAGTCTTGAGCGTGCCTTTTCAAACAAAAAAAAGTTGCAGTTCACTCTGCCATTGCCATAAGAAATGGGCATTTTCTAATTTGTTTCTGTTTGAGTACAGACTAAATAGTGGAAACTTCTTGAACTGCTATATTATATATCGGCTTCTTTTATTCTTGTGAGCCAGGAAAGGTAATAGTCCCTGCCTGAAAGGAGTTTTGGCCCATTCCTCAGTTGTAATCCTAGCTCGTTCTCCGAGGCCCCAGCCTACAGCAACCTTTTCTCCATTTCACTTTTCAGTGGAGAAACCTGCTGATTAAAGGGGTTGCAAATAAAGATGTGCTTGTTTTTCTGTCGTAATAAAAAAGTAGTTTTTTTAGTTGCACTCTCACAAACTGTTTTGCTTGCAGAGCCTCAGTTTTCCAGTACAGGCACAAAATATCTTAAGAGCAAATCTTTGGCTTTGAAATCTGTTCTTGTCTGTGTTGCCTTTTGCAGTGTGGAGAAAAACTAGCCCTTCCTTGGCACTCAGACCTGACCTAATGGCTGGGTTGGACTAGCAGCATCACAGAAAGAACAAACATTGAGTCTCTCAGCACATCCACAAGTAGTCACTATGCAAGATTAGTAAGGGAATTATGACCCCAAGGAGCTATTGTAGTACTTCAGGAGTTTTGGCATGCTCTGCTCTGCCACTGGTGGTTCCTTGTCAGCAGGCTATTCCAATAGGGCAAACTTTGATTTTGTGATGATTGTTTGAAAGGACTGCAGTGTCTCCCAGCAGATTCTGAAAGGCAAGCAGTTCTTGAAATTTTGGTGTCCTACTTCAGCTTTCCTAGCTACAGTAGACTTCTGCACTAGACATCTCGGTGGGCCTTAGGCTATTGTCCAGCTAGAAACACTTTCTCACCTTCACCTTACTAAGTCATCACAAGGGTTGCAGGGTCCTCTGGTCAAGTGCCCTCCCCATAAATTGAAGTAACTAATCATGAGTAATCAATGGGAAAAAGTCAGCTTTTTTTTTCTTTAGTCTGAGGATGTTCGCTCTCTAAACATCTTTAATTGTCAGCATAAGGAAGGAGCAAAGGGAACAGATTCAGCATAGGATTTGTCACCTGCAACTCCTGATGCTGCCTTATTCCAGAAATAGGCAAGCCAGCTGTGACTTATAAATCTCTTGAAACAGCGGTTGAGTTGTTAGATTGCAAGTTTCAAAAAGAAGAGACTCGGTGAAAATGTGTTTTCAGTTCCGGTCTTTATTCTTTTTATATGCTTTTACTTTGATATGAGAAGAATTCTCCAGTCTTTCTGCTCAAAACCTAAACATCCAAAAGAGATTCTTGGAATAAGTTGGAGGCTACAAAAATTTTTTACAAATTCAACAAGCAAGAACTTGGGCATACAGAGAGTTGCTTCAGTCTATAGTAGGAACAATGAAAAGCCAAAAGTATGTAATGCCTTAGCTGTTCCACAATTGAGGTAGGGGACTAAACAAGCTGGCCAAGGAACAGAACCTTAGAGTGAAAATCAGAAACTGTCCAAAAAGATTCTGTATTTCTTCAGTGTTTGTGCCTTTAGATTGAATGTTGCAGTAGTCTACCACTCGCTCCTCTTGATAGAAACTTCCATTCTCTGTATTCCAATTTTCTGTTCTGCATGTCTTCTAAACCATCCTCAAGCCTGTAGTCTCTCCTGACAAGAGCACCCACATTGCCTGTTCTTCCATCGAATACACTTGTATGTAGTCTCACGAAAAGCTGGTATAGCCCTTGTCGGTGTAACACTCACACCGTTTAGTTTTGTTTCTAAATGATTCCAACCACCTTTTCATTGCCAACCTAGCTCCTTTCATCATTAGCAGTTTAAAATACCAGGTGCCATCCAGAATTGCTCCCTGAAACCCCACCTGTGGCTTTGTTCCAAAATAGGAATTACTTATTTTGTGATGCTTTCATTGCTTCCTCGCCTGTGTTTCTTAAGGAATAGTTTTCAGGGGTGTTCTGTTTTCTAATTAAAATTCCACTGCATGAATGCTGAAACAAAGATTTTTTTAGAATATCTGTTCTCCCAGTAGCCAGACCCAGTATGCCTCTCCACCTGTTAAGCACAATGGAAAAGGAAATGCAATGCAGAAATAGGGCACAGTCATTAACCCCTGGAGAAAAGGGAAGTTAGTGCTAGTTTAACTTGGAATGGTAACTGCTTTGCTGTCAAAAAGATTACTCTTATATGTAAGATTTTTCACAAAGGTAACCAGATCCCTGGGGGTTATTGAGAATCCCTCTCCTGCCTTTTCAAGCAGTGATACATCAGGCAACCCAGGGCAGAAGCAGAGGGCTTAGTATTTGGGGTAGTTTCTTTAATATCAAAGTTTATTTTTCTGTGTTGTAAGGAAGCGGGCCATGGGAGGTATGGCCAATAAATTGAAATGGTGTCAGTGGGTGAAAAATATTGTATGTTCACTTTACAGAGCCCCTTACGGAAAGGCTGTGGATATGTGGTCTGTAGGCTGTATCCTGGGAGAGCTGAGTGACGGGCAGCCCTTGTTCCCTGGTGAGAGTGAGATTGACCAGCTCTTTACCATTCAGAAGGTGCTAGGCCCACTGCCAGCCGAGCAGATGAAGCTCTTCTACAGCAACCCACGCTTCCATGGCTTGCGGGTAAGAGAAGGCTTTGTTCTTTTTTTTTTTATTTTTTTTTATTTACTCACACAGTATTTACACTATTGTCATTGTAACTGTGAAGGTTCTTTTGCTTTACATTTTACGTTATCTATTGCATGTGTTTCTGTGTAAGTATAGGATACTTAGATTATACGGCATTCATAATTCAAAGTCAAATTCTGATCACACCAGTACTGAGTGGTATAAATATGTTTGGTATACTGTTAAAAGCTGATGAGAATTTTTCTTTCATTTCTTTGACTTTTTTGGCATGCAAGTTAGCATTTATAACCCAACTTAGCATTACACTGGTGGTTTGCACTGTGAAGTTTAGTGGCATAGCTCTGTCAGTTTGGGGTATGAAAAATTCATGCCTGCTGTCTTCAGGCTACTATGCTGGAAAAATCTGGGCCATAGATGCCACTATCATGGCAGAAGAGCTTTTTGCCTTTTGCCTTATATTCCTGGGGAGCTGATATAAGCCATGTGAGTAAAAGAGCTCTTCCTACCAACCGCATTGTTCCCCTTTCAGGGATTTGCCAATACCATGTAATGACAGAGACTCTAGTGTGGAGAAAGCTGCTCAAGTTGGGATGTGCAATACGGCAAAATCCCAGAAGCAATATATAAGTAGTAGTTCTGTTATCTTAAGCAGTACCTGGCCAGTGACTGTACTCATGTTGTCTTGTAATTCAGTTTTGGTTGTCATTTTTCATTAATGAATGTTGCTTAGAAGGGTGAATTTATGATCTTGATAAAATGGTCTGAAATGGTTAGTGTAAAATCCTATAAAGAGACATACCAAGGCTTTAGGAGACCTGATCTGTGCTAAAGACTCAAGATTTGAGTTTTACTTTATAAAACATAAAACTTAGAGAATGAGAAGGGGAAAGAGGGGGGGACCTAGTTGTCTTAAAACATATTAAAGGTTGCCATAGCTGAAGATGATAAGAAAAGAAATAGTTGGCTTAAGGTGTAAAGCTAATTATTTTAGCTACAAGGATAGCTAATTCCTAAGAGGTTTTGTTAAAGTTTGTAGACCCTCTGTCAGTGGAGGGTTTAAAAAAATATTAGACAAGCATTTCTTGCAAGGTCCTGTCTGGTTTTGATCCTGTTTAGAACAGTGGGCTGGATGGGATTTTCTATTTAAAAAAATTTACACCTCTTATCAGGAAAGCAATGCTTTAAAAGTTGCAAGGAAGATAAATTACTGCCTCTGCAACATTATTTTACAGCAGCTCTAGCTGTGCAATGTAATCTTACTTGGATAAATGCTCTGTAGTGTCTTAGGATGAAAATGAAGTATCTTTATGTTGTAGCTTTAAAATACAGTAATTCAAGAAGACAGCGTGGACCTAATGTGATTAGCACAGGGGTAAGAGTTATGCATTTGTTCCCATCCTGGATCGATGGTTTATTACTTGGCCTCAGACATGTTGCTGTCTTCTTAGCCCCACCTGCAAAGTCAGAATACTAATGATGATGACAGTGACATATGCCTTCTATCAGAGAGTAGTTTTTGCATACTGAAGTGTGAGTAACGGCTTAAAAATGAAGAATACTACAAAAAATGTTGTTTTGGAATGTGATATTCGCTAGCTATTTCACGGAAAAAAAATATTCCGTGCTATAAGGCAACCTTGAAAGTACATTTTTCTGAATGTAGCATAGTGCTTAATAGTGGAAGATTTTCTGTTGCATAGCGGATAGAAGGTATGCTGTGATCATGCAAGTTATTATTTACAAGCTGGATCTGGTGCTGAGTGTTCACAAGATAGAAACTAGCCCATGATGTGGCATTGTTTATCCACATGTTTAGGCTTTGTGAATTTCTACATTACCATAACTGTGAGTACTACCATGTTGTACACAGGATTTTTTTCTTCCTGCTCATTTCTTTTATGCATATATACATATATACACACACACATAGTTTTCCTCGCTGCTGAGGTTTAGGGGGAGTATTTAGTGATCTCTTTTCAGTCCTTTTGAGGAAGAAAACATCCATGGTATGTTGAAGGCTCAAGGAAATAAAATAATATGGGATCAGAAAGTACCAATAGGCTCAAGCCTTTATGGAAAATGTGGATGGTAATATAGGGCTACAAATACTATTCTACAAATAAGTTATAAATAAGCTGGAGAATCTGAAAATCACAGTGAGTAGCCATCTCGTATTACTGCTTTGCATGGCTTCAGCACATTTTCGTGTTTCCCTGACCATTCCAGATGTAAAATCTTCTTTATGGTGGTCATTCTATATGAAGATAAGAATATTTTGCCATTTGGTTCATGTTAAGAGTGGAAGTAGCATGAAAGCCTTGTTTCACCTAAGTTACTATCTAAGATCAACATAGCAGACTTGGACTTAAAAAAATTCTCAATCATTAGTAAACCACTTCAAAGGAAAGCAAAGTAAAAAGAAAAATACAGACATTATTTAGGAACAAACAGATTCAAATGAATGTTCTTTAATTTTCCTTCAAAGCTCACATAATGTAATTTATTAAAAGTAATGTCAGTACAAACAATGGGCAGCAATTCATAGTGGTCTAACACATACACATACAATGCACATGCAATGCATTGTGCTTCCAAATAAAATGCGGTTTTGGAAATGGGTGTTTTTATTGGGTTGCTCTTTAAAGCATAGGTTTGAAGCTTGTGTTTAATCTGAGGAAGGTGAACATATACATATAAGCACCTAACGGTAACAGTCCCTATATGTGAGAGCTGAAAAATGCACAAGTGAAAGTAAAGGAATAAAAGTCTTTAAGACTTCCTGATCATTGACATTTTAGACCAAACGTAGTTCTCATGTTTTTATACTGTAGAAAATTTCCATATAAAATGTTTGTTTATCTTCATGTTAGTTGATTTTTTTTGTTGCCGTTATCTGTCTTAATCACTGACTTGAATTTTGTTGTTTTCTTGTATTTTTAGTGGTTTTTAACTGTAATTCAGTATTGTACATGGGTATATTTTATATATGACTTGAGCCCATTTGGACATATAGTGATGGCTTTTATGTACCAGTAGACAAGACAATGCTTCCTCTTGTCAGTATTCTTGCTTTGATGCATTAGTTTAAGAGGACTCTTTAGATAATACATAGGATGTGGGTGGGATCAAGCCAGGCTGCAGCTGAAACACTTGCATAGTATTAAGCAAATTCCACAACTCTGGGGACTGCTAACAGAGTGTCTCGATCTCAGCTGTGTAGTTTTGGATAAACTGATTAATGCCAATAGGCTGGCTGATTGTTGGTTTGGTTTTTAAAAGAGGCTTCTCTGGTATTCAAATGTGTAATTTTCTCTAAAATCAGCATAAGCTGGATCCGTGAGGGGTTTTTATGCCTCTGTTGGAAATCCAGCCTTAATTTCTAGTTCTGAAAACACTGGCATATATGTTTAGTTTTCAAATTTGAATTCACCTCACTGAGATCAGTTTATCTATTTGTTTGCTGTTAGTTCAACCTGTGCCGCAGTCTGGAAATGGATCTCTGTTGTCTCTTTTCAAATCATAGTTGACGTTACATTATAGCAATGAAATATTGAGCAACTTTTCTTTCATTTGATAAAAAGAAAGTATTCTGCCTTCATTTTATTTGACTCTTGCTTGTTTACAAAGCAAGTAAAAAAACCCGATTCTGTGCTTTATTTTTTCTTTCTTCAAATCATCCCTGCCTGTCCTGTTCTTCTTTCCAGACAGGGCTAGTTTCAAATGTCGCCTTCATCGGGTTTTGTCCAGGCTGTAGCTGACAAGAGATACCCTCCAGCAATGTGCACTACTTCTCGTGGTGTTGCCAGTTCTTACTGCAGCGTGCCCACAGGAGTAGTCCTGAACCTTAAACTTTGGGGTTTTCATGTTTTTCACTAAAAACATTTTGGCATCGTCTGTTAATCTTTGGTATTTAATTAGGACTGTATATGCACTCTCAAATTCTTTCAAGGCTATTTTTAATCCTTTTTTAAAATATATATTACTTAAGTTATTTCTGAATCTATTTTAAACCTCCCACCTCTTGTCAATCATAATGCCACAAACACATTTCTAAATCTAAGTGGATTATTTCTCATTTGAGAGAGGTTCCTTGACTGCCCTACTAATCAAGAATGCTTTCTTTGGTTGACTAGATGCATATCATACATTAGCAATTATTTGTTTCTTGATAATGTTTTGAAATGTTTCATAAACCACTAACTTTTCAGTGCATATGGTATGCATTAATTGCATGCCTTTATTCACTGTGTAGTTTCTATTTTTGAAACATTGTATTCATGTATACCTTGTTTACATTCTCAGTATATTTATGCTGTATTATTTTTACAGTTTCCAGCAGTCAATCATCCACAGTCTTTAGAGAGAAGATACTTGGGAATTTTAAGTGGTGTATTGCTTGATCTTATGAAGGTAGGAAAATGTATTTTATTTTCTGTCTTTAATACATAGTGAAAGATGTGAGTGACTTTATCTTTTTTTCTTAATATAATACAACTTAAAAGTACTTGTGAACTTCCTTTTGAGATATTTTGATATCACCATTGTTTGTAGCAAGGCTTGATATTTCCTAGGAATTGGGAAAATACCTCTTGCAAAAGCTAGGAGAGTCTGTTCAAATTTGACTGATTTGATAAACAATACATAGTCCAGAGAAAAGAATCACCATCATTTGCAGCAATATGCATTCACACTGATGTACATTCAGATGCACAGGTCACCTTAGTAATGCTGGCGTATGAGCTCTCAAACAGTAATAAATTTAGGTAAATCTGCAGAGTATTAAGCTAACTTGAATTGTTGTTCATTTGTTGTTGGATAAGCATGAGGATGTGGACAGTTGTCAAAGACAAAGTTGATGCACAGTATTTTTTTATTTTTTTTTTTTAACCTGGACACTTAATCTGCTTGCTATCGTTCACCTCTACACAGCATGTATGTTAAGTTACTCTTCAGTCCTCTTTTGGAATAAGTCAGCCAGTTACCTATGGCCAAACTAGGATATGGTCCTGAGTCTTACAGGGGATCAGGAGAAGCTGGCTCCCCTCAAAGTGGCCAAACACTGTAAAGCATTGTGCCATATTCCTGGGTATGCAACACATATTGTTGTCCTTATTACAGTACTATAAAAACATCACCTTGGTAAGCTACCATACAACACTCCCGTTATTTCACCCACAGTAAGCTGAAAAAAAAAGTCATAGTGTCAAAATTAGGTTTAGAATCACAGGGGTACCACCTAAGAATTAAAGGCGATCTGGGACAAATATGAAGCGTGGATATGGCTAATCAACTCTAAATGACTTTTGTGGTCCCAAGTCCATCTGTGACAGTTGTCTTGGAAACCAGAGGTCATCCGCTTTGGGGTGTACTTGGGTGTTTACTTGCTTTTAGCAGTATTGATGTAGCCAGCAGAAATCCAAATTTGCTCTACTCTTTTTTTTTTTTTTTTTTTTTTTTTAGCACAACCAGTTCAAATCACTTTCATTTAATCTACCTGCCTTATGAAGAGAGTCACTATAGCTTTTTGTCTTGGTTTCATGGAGTCCACAAAATTAGGTACCTCGGTGCATATAATTGTTTGGTTTTGGTATTATACATTCTACTCTATTTTCTAATTCACAGAAACTTTTCTGGCATCATAGTTAGCTGTAGTAGCATACATTGCAGAACAGCAATTTCAAGATCATTCTTCAGACCATTGTTACATGTGCTGGGGCAGGTTTTATTTTCATTTTATCCTAATTTTTATGTTATGTCTCAAAGTCTTTTGGGTTCTTTTGGTGTGATTTAAAAGTTGTAAAATGAAGCACTTGAATTTTTGGGAAACAGAGGTTTTCAGATAATCCCATTCCACTT